GTTTCGAAAATAAAACGCACGCGACAAAAAGCAAAGTAACAAAGATCCATGTAGATCGTTAAGGGGTTTTTTTGATGCGTCATTTCGTTGCTTTACGAGGACGCCCATTACCGTACGTTATCGTTCCGTGGTGCCGTTGTCCTAAAACTTTCTAATCTTCCCGTGGCGCGCATGGCTTCGCCGCGAGATATTACCCCCCATAACAAACCCATGGATTTTTCACTCGCCACCCCGTATACCTCGTGTTCGTGCGTAAAGCATTCGTGTGTTCAGGAGGGTCAACGTCCGACCCTCACCACACGCCACGGATCGACGCGCCAACACACAGAAGCCTGGTTTGTTTTGGTTTCCCGGGCGTTACCCTCGCCTCCCCACTTCTTCCAAGCGAGTCCTCTCTCTTTCTTTCTTCGCTTGTTCGCCTCCTCCGTGCCCGATCCTCTCTTCACCACCTCCTTCGTTCCTGCGCGGCCGATACATCCGACGCTCATGAAAGCTATCGGCGTGTACAGTGACGACGCGATCCCAAAATGGGAATTGACATCGAATTAGCGTGACGTCAAGGAACGTATGCAGATATACGTCGGGATGGACGGTAAACGACGCTACGGCCACGGAATACGGGAAGAGTGGTAGCGTTAACGCGACACTGTGTACGATACACGGCGACATATTTTTCCCATTAAATCGAGGTTAGAGTCACATACCCCGCCGCTTAGATTCGAAAATGGTATCTATATTAACGTGGATTCGAGTAATATTTGACAAATACCATGGAGCGATCTATTTGTTTATTCGATTGGAAAATTATCTACAAAATTTTACTTAGTACTTTACGAACCGCAGTTGGGCATATAATTAAATTTAATGATATTCCTTATTTTCGTAACACTGGTATTATACAATATTTCATAATTTATATAACGATGGAAGCGTACAGTGCTACATCGGAATAGATAACAAGGTATTGGTTATCGTGGAAAAAAGCCGATTGCCAGTCGGTAAAATGTTAACTAAACTTCACTTCTCTCGACAATATCATTACACCGTTTGCTTAGTTGTTCCCTACTTAAAACGAGTTTGTCCCTACGGATAAAACAGCTAGCGGCAAATTATCGACTTCGAGATGTAATGCGCGCATAAGTTACCATCAGATCGAAAAGGGTTAAAGACACGACGGGGAGTAATGGAAGCAAGATGGCGCGTGCGCGAAAGATCGAAAAAGAAGTCGCGACAGTTGTTTCCGAGGAAACGAGCGCGACGAGTGACGCGAGGAGAAAGCGAGAGCCGCGTGGAAAGCAAGTGGCTGCGGTGCTGCGAGTACATAGTTTGGGATCGATTTTCGAGTCCGTGTCCGTGTCTCGTCGCACTCGTTACGTTCACCTCAACGGTAAATGCTCGATTCGCTGCTATCCCGCTCGGGTGCCAGCAACGTCCTGCGGCGCGGGGCGTGCACGGTAGCGAATGCAAGCGAAGCGGACAAGCATCGCGAAGAGAGACCTTGCTTGGAATTTCCATTCGTAGAGAACGGGTCAGTTCTCGAACGCGGATCATCGCATGCACGGTCTAATTAAAAGCTATTCGAGGACTGCACCCGAAACGTACGCAACACGCGTGACTTCGTTGCAATCCGAGATAGATTCCAGAGGGCGTGCACGCTCTCTTCTGTACGATGGAAAGCATGGAGGGAAGGGAGATGTATAGGACGTTCCATGGAACGATCAAGTGCACCCAAACAAAACCACGTGAGCGCGGCCGAGATGCATTAGCGATAGGCTTGCTTCTCGTATACAATAGAATCTACACTAGTTTATGTTTGTAAGTAAACAACGAACCATCTTAGAACTGTATCTTCGAATTATTCTATTTTATCTTTAAAAGTCCCTTTTGTAAATCTTTCGTACGGCTATAGCCAAGCGTAGAGTGGACGTAGGAGACCAATGAAATTTTAATCACGCGACAGGCACTGCTTACATCGAACATCGTGTCGTGAAACGTGCTATATAGAGTGGTCTCGTAAACGAGCCTGGTGCTAGGGTAGATGGCCGACGTCCTCCGATCGGAGTGCACGCGCGTGCATCCCCATCTAGCTATCTATACTACCGGCAACATCGGAGTGCATCGCGCACGATGCACCCACGGACGACTAGCACTCGGCAACCCTGTCCGCTTGCTTACTCATCCCTGTTGGCTCGAGAGAGGAGAGACCGCACGAGATCGTCCTCTCCTTGAGAAGATTTACATCTCTCTTTCTTCTGGTCGCGATGTGTTCCTTTTTTAGAATCTTGCCAATGGAACGGACCGTGACCAATTACATCGGTTGGCGTTGTACCGCGCTCGATGCAACCTGTTAACACAACAGATGGGCACAATGGCGTACTCGCTCATCTATGATTCGACCGAAACTTCGACTCGATGTTTCATTTCTTTCCGAATGCTGAATAGATCGGAAAACCATTGTTCTTTTAATGAATAGCTGCAGTTGTAGATGCGAATAATGTCGATACCTTTATTGAAATACCTTTGTTGAAATTAGATAATATTAAATGGCGATTGACTCGTCACAATGAGCTGAATTGTCACATGCTTTAAGAAATTTTAAAGATCGACTCGTTCGTTCATTCATTCGTTCGGCCACTTGCTCGTAATAAGAATCGTAGGTTCGAGAACCCATTTTCATAAAATTTCTAGTTTCCCTTTTAAAGAGATTGCTCGACCCAATCGATCGGGCATTTTAGAAAGTTTGCACGTTTATGCGGGTAGGCGATGCGTTGAACGGGCACGCGCAATATCTCTACGATTATTAACGCACGTAACCGAATGTGACTGAAAGTCGCTGCGCAAAAGGGGAAAGGGTCGCCGCGCTGACTTCTTCGGTACGAGGCAAAAGCAACGGGCAAGGCAAAGCAAAGGGAGAGCATATTGCCTGCCAACCGGCATAGAAGGTCTGTGACCTCGGCAATGCCTATGCTACGCTGTGCACGCCGCTGCCCGCGTGTACCGTTTCAGAGGTGATGTCACGAGCAGAAAGGTCCTTGAAAGAAGCAAACAACTTTTCGTCCGACAACTCTTTTCATAAACAAAATGATAAACGCACAGGTTTTGAATTTTATCTCATATCGTTATCAAATTTTTCGTATTATATTGTAAGCTCGTTTAACCAACGGTCCAGGCTAATCGTTGTTAATCACATAATGTTGTACAATTTTAAATCAACATGTAAACGAAAGAACATTCATAAAATATGATTACACAGGTAGAGCAACGGTTATCAGACAAAAAAATCTGGCTGTGTGTTCAATGATGCGTTACTGTAACGTCAGTGGCAGCGTGAACAATGTTGCTATCAGTTAATCTTCCGCTCGCCGCTACCAGTTCTACGATGTTCTTCGCAGCGATAATATCTTACGTCATATATTTTACTTGCGGATTAGCGAAGAAGTTATTTCATCTCAATTGCATCTGCGCGCATCCATTGTGTACCTGCGGCTTGTTACAGGGGACAATTTACGACGACAATAATTTTATTGTTTAGGCTTTCCTTACACGTGTACCCCGTGGCATACAAGAGCCGGGAGAGTCCTTGAGAGGTTACTTTCGTAGAGCTGAGACCACGTTCTCTTATCGCTAGTCGATTCAAGCCCCGAGGTGCATTGTCGAGGTTGCGTATCGTTAATTTGTCACTTCAGCGTCTTATTACATTGTTATCCGCCCTGGCTGGATGTTCGAGCCATGCTGATACAAAAGTTTACGCGTACTATAAAAGAACTTTTATTCTCGTACTTGAAACGTTTCGTTTGGATCTATAACGACTCGGTGTAGAGTTGTAGACAAATAGAATAGGAGGCACTTTCGGTGCGATTGCGAATAAACGGATGCTAGCCTTTCAACGCTCGCATTCTTCGAACGCAACGACTCGAAGGGAAAAGTGAAAAACGTTTTAGGAGAGAGAAAAAATGTTTGATTCGGCTGGCAGATTTACGAATTTTTTTGACTAATATTTTAGCTGTCCTTTGATGGGATCTTATGGTCCGTCGGTTAACGCGGCGTAGCGTGAATCGTACGCTCTAGTCGTGTTGGTCCGCTGCGCGAGGGAAAATCGATGCGCGGCAGCCAGCGTGCTCGCTGCGCGCACGTTTCTTTGTTTATATCGGCTGGCACTGGTCGCTGGTGGCACGATCACGTGTTATTGATCCAGGAACGATACGACACTCTCAGACCACGCGGTCGCCGCGATCGTGCTTTTAACGCTTTACGACTCGTCTGGCGCGCGCAACAGACTGCATCGACTTATTTCGCACAGAAGTAAACCCTCTTAAGGGGTATTTCGATTGTTTACACTGATATTGAGTCCATCTCGTAGATTCGTGTCACTCCCTGTTGCTCTAATTAATATTTGAAACATGTCTGAGAGTTTCGTGACTCTGGTCCTCGTAGTTTACACGAAGGGTTAAACGTGAAAGTCTCAGAATCATAGCTTTAAACGTCACGACTAGACTGTAGATGTTTATGCATTCATGACAAATGAAACTATGTGGCACAAATAAAAATATATATATATATATATATATATATATATATATAAAATATCAACAATAACACGCGTTTAGAATATTCAATACTTCGATTTAACTTTCAGTCATCCGCAGTCTAGTTACGACAAAGTGTAATCACGCGAGAAATCTTTAAATCCGCCTCGTCCATTGGAGAGATCTGCCATCTACTGGCTGGAATGTTAATCTACCTTTGAACGGGCTCCATGGATCAAAACCTTCAGCAATCCGACTTACAAGGGGGATTTTGAAGTAATAATAACCAGGAAAGAGAATAAACCCTTTAAGAGCTCAAAGAGATAAACACCGTTTTCGTCTTGTAAAAGACAGTTTCCACTCGAGAGGTCCATCGCGTTCATTCAGACCCTCTGAGACCGTTTGTCCCCGATTCGGATCAATGATCACCGAACCATCCGAATCTATCCATCACGTTTTTCTTTCTGGTTTCAGCCAAATGCGGCGGTGGTGTTCAAATGCATATGGAAAGGCTGTCTGGAGATCAAAACCACCGTAGCGCTGATCGAGGAGCACGTGCGCCAATCGCACTTGGGGTAAGTCGCAAGACGCAACAAGTCTCGTGAAAATCCTCGTGCCGGCGTACGTATATCGTGACCGGTTACGAGGCCGTGCGAGAACGATTAACCTTGAACCGTCTCGATAAGATAAATTCGCGTCGGTGAGAATTCAGTTTCGTATGTTACGTTAGGTTGGCCCAAAAATTTCTTTCCACCGTGTTTATATAAATAAACGAGCGTCTTAACTGGCCAATTTTAACCGATAGTCGCTCTGGTTTTCGCAGGCCGAAAATATCGAAAGGCAACGATAGCGACGACATGTCCGATCACGAGGAGGAGTTCTACTATCAAGAAGTCGCGATGGATCACATGAGCTCGCCGCCGACGATGTCACACCGGGACATGGCCAGGCCCCCTCACGAGGATCCGGAGTACCAGAAGCAGCTTCGTCTGGAGGCGGCCCCGGCGACGAACAACGCTGAGAACGTGCTGGTGGGAATCCGGGAACGGAACACGGCGTTCACTATTTCGCAATCCCCGGTACGCGTGCGGGATATATCGTTGGGAGAAAGAAAGATCGGTTCTGGGCTCACACGTTCACTGTTGGGAACTTTCTTTGGGGTCAGTTGTACTCTGGTATTGTAACCATTACACGAGAGTGCTTGATAGCGCATTGTTTCGGTAAAATGTAGACATCGCGAAGACTGATACTTCTTTCTCCTTGTAGCACCTAACGAGAGCGTCGTGTCAAGTGTTGAACACTGATTTTAAACGAGCTTCGTAGATGGATAGTAAACAAATCTTTGATCCATGCTTGACCTTGTGCAATATTAAATAGTTTAGCTACTAGCGTTAAACGTGCTATCCTACTGGCTGCTATAGCAGAGTTCTTTTCTTTACTTTCTATTTGAATTTAATCCCTCTTCAAGGTGTAGATCTTTACTCAACTTCTACGACTCTTTATTTAAATTCAGCGTGCAATGCCTCGAAAGGGTTTGTTCTATTAATCCAGCCTACTCTATCTGTTGAACAGGGCACACCTATCAAACACATAAAGCTGTCGCCCCGGCCGTTCCAGGCGTACCAACAGAACATGGGCCTGCTGACGGTGTCCACGGGCAAGATGCCGTCCTCGCCGCGTCGAATACGCGGCGAGACGAAGAAGTGCCGCAAGGTCTACGGTATGGAGCATCGGGACCTTTGGTGCACACAGTGCAAATGGAAGAAGGCCTGCAGCCGTTTCGGCGACTAGGCCAAGGGATCGACCCGCTCGTACGTCCGCGAGCGGAGATTGTCGCCGTGCCGACCCCAGAGTTTGCCAATGCTACGTTAAAAATGAGAACGAAAACAAAACAACCTACAACAACAAAAAAAAAAAAAAAACGAACACTTGTCACCAACTGCCAATTGCCAATTTCCGATCGATCGTCGTCGTCGTCGTCGTCGTCGTCACGCGACAAACGCGACGAGGACCTCCGATCGCCTGAACCACCGTTGGTTACAGCGTGTACGGGAAGTGGAGGTGGTACCCTATTTATCGGCCACCATCTTCCAAGAACAGGGGGCTCGCAGTTCGCTCTGTCGCTCCACGAACCGCAACAGAATGATACAAGCAACCTCCTCCTGTGTGTTCTTCTTGTTTCCCCGTCGGTCGTGTGTTTCTTGGGAATATCCACGACGGGTGGGTGAGTGGACTAAAGAAATGAAAAAAATTAAGGGGGCAACGAGTTTCGTCGAGAAACGTCAATCCCATGACGGATGGCGGACGGTTGGAGAAAGCCGATTAAATTTCGCGTAGCAAGATTGGAGGAGGCGTCGACTGCTCGCCGTCGGTGAACAAGAGCCGAGAGAGAATTTTGGACGCATGGATCGTTGACCGATTGTCGAACGATTTTCCTTGTCGCTCGTATTTGGCACTTGGCAAACTCCGGTAGGGTCATTTTTAGCCGTAAATTAAAAAAGAGGTTTCGATTAGTAGATAGCGAATAATTGCTTTGGCGTACGGAACGAGGCGTCCCTTTAGACTGTTGCGCTTGTCTCTGCCTCTCTCACACTCTCTATCCCTTTATCTCTAACCGTACGAGGGTGCAGGACACGTTCGGACCCTCGTTCCCGTCACGCCAGACGAAATCTTTTTGGTTCGGTACGTTAGAAGAGATTACGCGCTCGCTCGATGTCCGGCGAGCACGCATGTCCCTCTCGATATGTGCTGGTTCCCGAACCGACTCTTAGGTCATTGGATTGGGTCTTCCTCAGAGATGGGCAGAATCTTATTCGGCGAACGGAAACGCTGCGCAACGATTTATTCGATACTTTGATTTCGATTGGCAATTTTTCGTCGAACAAATGACTGATCGAAGGTTGTTTAGCTTCTTAATCGAAATTTCTATCTGCTAGAGCATTTTGCCCATCTCTGGTTCTTCCTTCGTCCGACGGAAGAGCGCCATCGCCTTCGATGCGCGCGCATTGCCCTCGCGACCGCGAGCATTGCAGGGAGAAAGAGAAATTAGTCTCAGGTAATCCTCCGCCGCGGTGGAATTCAAACTTTTTAGGAGACGCTCCATCTAGAAAACGAAACGGTTTGTTTTATACGTTTTAATTACTTCGCCTACCAAGTTTTATTTATATTCATTTTTAATTTACACGTTTAAAGACACGTACACTAGTAAGTAAATAACATTTGCTAGAATATTTATCGCGAATAATGTGATACCCGTCCCGTTTTTCAGGTTGATTTTTACATTATTTTTAACCAGATGAACTTTTATGCAGTTATTTATTTTTAACGAACATTCAAAGCTATTTTTTTAATTATCGTTGACAATACGGCGGGTTGATTCTTGTTCGTTAACAAAATCTTTTTTCCGAAAGATGATATACAATCATGCAATAAAGAGTCGAGAGGAGTATCTGATATTTCTCTTAGCAATACTCGCGCGACAATCGCGCCTCGGACGACAGGAAGGGGACCGAACACGTTCGAAAAATTCGGTTTGACCGATGTTCTTCCTGGAAGGACGCAGGCGGGCAAGTTGAACGAATATTGCGTCGAACAGGGCTAATTGTGATATTTTCTCTAAATTTTATCGGATATTAATCGTCATCAGCCGACGAGGCTGATGAAGAATATTAAAAAAATAAATAAATAAATAAATGAATTAAGCGGGTGATATATAAGGAAACGTGCGAAATTCGGGATTGGGGGAATTAACGCACGGATGAAAACAGAGGAAACAAAATTTTATACACCAATTATTATACTGCCAGATAAATAATTCAATACGAAGCGATGGAAGAGATCACGCGCGAAAACGTTATGAAAAAGTAAGAAGAAAAAAGAAATGAAAAAAAGATGAAATACACGAAAACGATTATCGTTCAAGGTTGCGTGCGCACGCAGCCGTTTTCACGTCGCCTGTTGGGGCTCGCTGGCAAGACTGTTCCAAAATGAAATTGCATTGATTTTTATACAAATAGTGTTCGTTCTAATAGCAACGAAAATTTCATCGAAAATTGCTTTGGAAAATTTCTTGGTCTCCGAACAAAACTTTTGTCTCGGAGAGTGTAAAATATTTTTGAACAGAGAATTAACGGTTGAAAAGAAAATTATATTTCTGTTGATCTTATAGTGTACCATCGTTAAATGTAAAAATCGGTGCGATTCCATCGCCGATCGAATAGTTTCGCCAGTCAGGGCTCGCCAGCCTCTCTCGACGACCTAAGACCGTGTTCGCCAACAAAGGAGCTGCGTGCACGAGACGACAAGAGGCCTCGCAGTTGAATCGATCGATCGTACCGAACGGGGCGGGATCCAGGCCAGAGGATCTCTCCCCGAGGTATTGTGCGTACGCGTATTATACAAACAAATCCGTTTGTAGAGCCCGTGGCTGGGCGCTTCTGTAGCCGAACGTTCATTGAACGTGCACCTTTCTCGTTTTCGATCCTGTAACTCGTACAGGGGGTCGCAGACGTTACGATTTATCCTACAACTGCATTTTAATTAGAATATATTAATCGATCTAGAGTATCAGACCTATTGTATATAGGTTCTATCTAAAAACTGTTGACACTAAAACTACCACATCGAACTCGTTCGAATCACTCAACTATCAACTATGGTCTTTACTCCAATTTTTAGAGACAATTAATTTTGTTAATTATTTCGCTTCTCCTTCCTTTAATTACAAGGATGCGCGTGGACCTCGGTAGTTCTAATGTTAAACAATGAGACCTATACTTAATTCATCGAAATCGTTAAATGTTAAACTCGAGTGACAATAAATAATAAACAGTCGACACGTCCGAACTCGTCCAAGTGTAAATATATATTCTAAACGTGTAGTTAACTCTTATTCTTTCGAAATTCTGTTCGAATTTGTATAGAACTCTTGCGTACAGATAAATCCTCGCCTCTGTGACTCCCGATGCGGCTACTAGAATTATTTGTAAAATGGGCTGCAGACAAAAAAAAAAAAAAGGAGGGCGGGAAGCATTTGATCTCGATGGACTTTTGCGACGAGGACGAAAGATGCGCGATAATCGATCGCCCGGTTGTCTCGTCGTCAAATTTAAACGATTCTTTATTATTATTATTACTATTAATATTATTCTTATTAATACTATTTGCTTCTTCGTAACGGATAAGCGGAAAATTCGAGAAGGGTATTTCAAAGACTATAGGTTACGTAGAAATCGTTTTTCGTATCCTCGAGAGGAGAACTCCTTCTTCCATCATGTTGATCGATGCTCATCTTCTAGTACAATTTTACCGATAGCGCAGTCTATACGTTTTCTCGCATAATTTTAACCGTTAATCTCGCGTACGCGTGTCGATATTTAATCGTAATTAAGGAATCGTAACCGTGCAACGATAACGTCACTGAGAGTAAGAGATTCGGTTTGAACAAACGCGGGAAGGGGGGCAGGGGGTAACAGGGTAACGTCAATTACGAAATTCAGACCGTCGTCGGTTACATCTAACGGAAAGGCTTGAACGTACAAAAATGAAGGTCAAAACGTGCAATCTCAAAATCAAGCGTACAGTTCATTAACATACGCATGTTATATCGAGGCTGTAAATTTTGATCGTCGATTATTACCGCGACGGTGTTACAGATTTTTCTTTTTCTTTTCTTTGCAACATTCAGTTTTACTCATACCAAAGAAGTCGTGTCTTCGATCGTGTTTTATCCTCCGGGCTCCTTTCCAGGGATGGGCAAAAGTTTATTTTTCACAGCGGACGAACGAATACTTAAAAATATTCCATTCTCCAGTTAAGGATTCTAAAACATAAAACAATTACTCATACTCTCGTTTTACTAATTTTGCCCATTTCTGTGAAAAATCCATCAATCCGAGGAGGGGGCCCCGATCGTAACGCGCACGGATTTTCATTCATGTTTGTCTCGCGTACTTAGACGATCTTTTATTTTTCCTCTGTTTGTTTGTTTTTCAATCGGAGCGCAACCACGTACAACGGGTGCAAAATTCCAACGAATCGGGAGAGAAAGGGTTTCGCGTACGCTTGAAAGTATTTATACCGAGATGTCATTGTCCTCGATCGAACGCAAGAACCCAGCCAAGTCCTGGAATCGAGCACCATCGTAAATTGTTGCAATAACGAACGGGGAGACCGCTGACCGCTCGAGAGCGGGACGATTCGTCGCGAACCATCGCGAAACATTTTTCTTGTTCGATGTAAAAAAAAAAAAGAGAGAGAAAAAATTTAATCGAAAGGTCGAACGCGCGTGTATAGAATAGAAAGTAATTGCCGTCCAAATAGGTTCCTTCTGTAGGATCAAAATTGTCATCAGAAATGGTTTCTAGAGCGTACAGTTTGAATCGTCGGCGTGAGCAATTTCCGGAACAATCGCCGTGGAGCGCCGAATAATACCGCCGACGAAAAAGTTATGCCAGATTCGTACATTTTTTGATGATTTTTCGTGACACTGTTCACGTTTAAATCGGTGGATTCAAACTATTTTTATTTCTCTGTATGTAAAATGTTATCGATTTCGGGGCGCTACGCTACGAAGCTACATTTCGACTTTAGTTTCATCTTGCAAAAACAATGATTATAATTACCAAAGTATTTCTCATCGATGCTTAAACAAGTTTACGAATATCCTCCGTGCTTACGACAAGGTAAGCAGTATTAATCGGCGCCCGTCAAACGGAATCTTTATTTTTCTTGCATCTATACGGGAAAGAAACTTTGAAACGAACAGCATCCGAACGGTTCGCTGTTACGCTTGTGTACGAGCCTTGAATAACCGAGAATTTTGAATAGCCAAGAGAATTTTGGCGGGGGATTCAAGTACAGGCACTGCGTGGACACCACAGTACAAGGTTAACGA